TATAGATCACTCCCATTCAATCATAATTGAGGATATATTCAGCCATACCATATCCTCAATTATCTACAAACACTCAGCGATTACTGATCGCTGAGTGTATGAGCCCAGCCTCCTGTGACAGCGCTGTCTTCGCCCCCACACTGCTCTGCCGCACTGATAGGCGGCCGAGCGGTGTGGGAGGAGAGACATTTAGCCAAAAGTGCCATTTTCGGCCGCTATGTTTCGGCGGCCGATATATCGATGCATCCCTAATTGTAATATTTGTAAACTTGCTCGCATTACCTGTATATACACATTAAATAACAAGTGTTTTAAAAAATATACTTAGAGCTGTATTTATAGAAAAAAGAAATGGCTGCCCCTCATCCTGCAAAACTACTTGTACATACCTTCCTTGCAAATGAGAGCAAAAATGAATGTTGTTGGTATATCTTCTTTGCAGGTCAAATGTAACATCAGAAAAATACCACATTATGGCCACTAGATGGAGCGGAGTATTATAGGATATGAATACTTGTTTCCTGTGCTCCTCTGTTCCATCTAGTGGCTATAATGCAGTAATTTTCAAACTAAATACTTTCAAGCTAGAAAGAAAATATACTAACAACATTCTTTTTTTGCCTCCATGCACATTGATTGTAATGTCTTCTTTATATTGTAAAGCGCTGTGCAAACCATTGGCGCTATATAAATCCTGTATAATAATAATATACAGGTATAGTACAGTAATTTATCTCTACTTGTAAAGTTTATTAAATTGCAAAAGCAAAGCACCACTGTGTTGTAACATAAATGTATATATCCTGAGATTTTAAGGAATAGTTTCTATTGAACATGAATAAGTCTTCTGATATTTGCTGGCATGTTCTAAAATTGACAAGTTTATTTTAGGGATGACTGATCCTACAATAATGTAATGCCCCAAAACATACATGTAATCATTAGAAATTGCGAATTATTCCCTGTAGGAATGTTTATTGAATTAAACTCCTGATCAAAGTCCTTCTAATAATTACAAACAGATGATCATGCTGGGAGAAATCCAAATCCTTCTAAATTAAGACACTTCTCCCACTCAGTATTGTGTTTTTTGTCTAACCAGATGTTGAACAAGTCCACCTTTAATGGACTTGGATGTGTGCGATTGAGTTTATCATAACAAAGATCATTGCAGTCTTCTGTCTTATGAAATTATTTTCATATTACTAAGGATGCCCTGATGTATATCACCCAGGGATGGCCCTGCAAAAGCCTCAAACGTTGACCATTGGATATAGGGTATAGCTGGTCGGAGAATGTAAGGAATTTCCAGAAATATTTTTCTAATAAATATGAGGCTGCCTACACACAGTGATTACGAACAGTCATTAGGGTTAAGGTGGAGATAAAGTACCATGATTATCTTGGCAATCAAGTTGGATAAATTACATTTCTTTCATCTAGTATAAGTTTCACTTTTCTTTTTTTTTTTTATGTAGCTATAGACTTCAGATAATGACTGAAGAGTCTGACCATAAAATCACTGTGTGAAAAAGTGAGGGTCAAAAGGGGAAAAAATACTTGCCTTCATTTCCTGAACCCAACCTTAACATAAACCCTAACCCAAAAAGTGAAAATTTGCTATGTTGTAGGGAGCATCTGGAAATGTTAACTGTACCTAAGTAGTACTCTAAGGAGTGTACCTTTTGAGTCTTGAATTGACCTGAAAAATAGCAGTGTATGTCCTGGTATGTGAGGGTGCCTAGGCACTCCTGTGCATACTGGCTCAGAGTTGTATATCTGCACTGCATGTATCTTCCTGCCTTTCCTTCATTAATTATTTGGATATGAGCTTTATATATCTCTCCGGCTGCTTCTTGCATATTCCTCCATCGGTCACCAGAGGGGCAGTTTTGACGTGTGGAAGCAAAACCCTATTTGCTTCCAGAATGGCTGCTCCCATGCAAGCACAGTGCAGAATAAAGCATGGTAAGTCAGCAATGAGGAACAGATTAGCTGCAAGGTGCATATAATGCAAAACTGGTGACTACTCTTTTGCCCTCTTTCTGCGCAGCTTCCAAAGGTCCTCGGTAAGCTAGTTCCCTGGCTGTTATGTCAATATAATGTCTTCTGTACTTTGAGTTACTGAAGCAAAACAGGTATAGATATCAAGACTTTGGACTTTATTTGCTGCAGGCTTGATCCAGGTCAGTAACGCAAAACGTATTGAAGTTTGAGGCATCTAGTATTTTCAGAAAGAGACCAGAAATGGATGTAACCCTGTTCCTTTCAGCACTGGTTTTTTTAAAACAATTGATATCACCCTAACCTTAACCTATAGACTAGTCCTATTGGTCAACCCCATAACTTAACACAGGGTTAACACTTAACCCTCTAAAACCTAAACCCATACCTACCAACCAAATCCATCAGTCCCTTTTATTTTTCTCAGTTTCATGAGAAAACATGCATGCACCGAGAATCCAAGTGTTCATGATTATGGAAATATATTTTACACATGAGAATAAACTCAATATCTAATGTCTATGGTACCCATAAACATGAGGTCACAGATGCCTGGGTATAATCTCTTGTCTCCAGGTAGTCCTTGTTTCCTCGAGCCAAAATCAGAATGCACTTGCAATCAGACAGGTTTTAAATATGTCCAATCATAAGCCAGTTTTGGCAACGTTTACACCACTCTCTCTCATTTCTTCCTGCTCTCCATTCAGAATAACTTGCTAACTCTGCAGAGTCTAGCTAACACATAAAGCTGGGAATGCACACTAAAATTCTAATAATAAGTGGGGTCAAATCAAAATCGATTTTGACCGTAGTGATGACAAAAATTGAAGGACCAGGATGGTCAAACAAACAGTATTCTATTGGTGAATGTGGTTTTCTTTTGGGAAGCTCCATTCATTCTAAAATCGAATGTGAATATTAAACCAAATTTCAAACAGCAGTCGTCAAGTTTCTGATTTGGATTATCAAATGTTCTGAAGAGATTTTTATGAATGTTCATAAGAAACCTTACCAATGTTTATACACAGCTTAAGCCAGCTAAGGGCAGCTGGACTGCATTAACACATCCAACTGTCGTCTAAAGTCCGTGGCCAACTTTGGAGTACTATCAGCCCATCGGATAGATTTACTTCATTATAGATACAGCTTCAGTATTTGTTAACACAATATATCTTAAACTGGCCTATTTTTTTATTTGACTAGAAATATTTAGACTCCATTTTAATTATTCTATCTATAATGTTGTATTGGTTTTAGAGAACAGTCTAGTAGAATATTGCTGTATGTATCAAGTTACCAGTGCTTAAAGGGGAAATTGCAGAGTGCTGCCTTCCTTTTATCAGGAACCCACCAAGCAAGCGAGTCAGTCGAGAGACCCTGTTTACCAGACAATTGTCAGCCTTTTCAAGATAATTACACAGATTGTTTGAAGTACATTGTAGCTGAAACCTGATTGATCCTGGCATTTAGAATAGATACTTTCCCCTTGTGGATCAATGTAAACAAACATTTCAGTTAATGAACCTCTTATTAGCATATGGAAGGAGGATTTGTCTTCAAACTGTGCTCATAGTTACCAACTACATCCTTGGAAGGGCAGTCCTTTATTTTCACACAAATCCCTCTATCACTTTTTCCAATCCTTTTTAGATGTGATTTGTAGCTCTGTATAAATACATATCCTATTTACCTACCTTTTTAGGGCCCATTGACACTACTGCCTTAAAGCAATGGGGGGCCCCTGGTTCTCATGCTTGAATGGATTTCCCCCAGGTATTCCAGTTTCCTCCCACACTCCAAAGACATGTTGGTCGGTTAATTGACTCCTGTCTAAATTAAACCTGTGTATATGTGAGTTAGGGACCTTAGATTATAAGCTTCTTCAGGTCAGGGACTTATGTGAATGAGCACATGTAAAATGATGGTGCTATATGCCTGTAATAAAATAAGTTGCAACGCATGTCCGTTGGAGTGCCATTCAGAATGAATGAATGGCACCACATCACAACAACACATGTAATATGTGTTGCAGTGTGCTGTGGTAATACAATGCAATAGTGTGACTGGACCTTCTGAACCCAAAATGTATGTATTTGTTTTGGATAGCGTATGGAATAGTTAAAACTTCTGTTGATTTTTGTTTGCCATCTGTGTCCCGAAACAGGAAATGATCCCACTGATTTTTCCCACTTTCAGTTAAGGTGGCAGTGGTCACCAGGACATATCAAGGGGGTGACTCTTCCTAGGAGAAACTCTCTCCAGAGAGACAGACCGCAATATAAAGCTTATAGGGGCTATAACCCCCTCAGCACTCTATCCAAGACTAGAAAGAAAATGGCTTTAGATACACTTAAAGAATAACTTAAGGCAGAACTATAGGTCTGCTGCCTTCGCCATAATGTTCTGCAGACTCAAGAAAGTTCTGCAGACTCAAGAAAGTTCAGCTTTAATTTAAATGTTATATATAGTTATTATAAATGTATAATTATATAAATAATATATTATATAAACAACTTGTTTACCCTGTTCATCAGGCAGTAAAAACTGGGAATTCCCAGCATGCACCTAAATATATATGGTGTACGAAACTTCTCATCTGCAGCTGCAGCATTGTGATAATTACTCCCTAGTTCTGTCTACCAAGGCTAAAAATGCTCTAGTTTATTCAAATCTATGGTATTCATTAGCTATTACCTCTTCTATATTGTTTTTACATTTACCATGTTGTGTAAAATGCTTTGACCTTAAAGAGAAAATGTTGTTAAAATGTTGTTGTCATGGTAATGCACCAGTACCTACCTTAGGTTTGCCTAAAATTAGACCCTAAATCAAGTGTACCAAAGATCGTCTAACCTGCTGTATGGGAAAAAAAAATATTTTACTCCAAGCTTCCTGTTATCACACAATTTGACAATCGAAAGAGTGTCTTTTTCTCATATTGGAAACCAACAGAATTTGGTGATTTAGCATAGCTGTAACTATGTTTGTTTTTTTAGATATTCGAAACTTGGAAAAATTATTACAAGAAGCCATTGTCAACGGTCAGCCACGCAGCCATCGAGCTTGGAAAAAAATACTGATCCTTGTTGAAGGAATTTACAGGTAAGATAACTTAGTAAGGATATGAGGACACAGATATGAGGGCACATCTGTTAGTGGCAGCTGTTTACAAACAAAGCCATGTGATCAGTGTTTCATAGTTGACCTAATGTCCATGGGGTCCATATGATCAGGAACCATGCGATTGGTTCCAGATTGCTAGTGGAAACCCAGAGCTGCATAGCTGCATGCTCCTAACTATAAAAAAGAATCTATGGGACCTATGGAAGGGGTCGTAGATGGGAAGTGCACATGGGTGGCGTCGCTCGCCCTCTTCATTACTAAGGCTGATTTGTACTTATGGCAGCCCCCAGCCATCCAAAGGGGTACAGAGTAGCCAATAGAAAATGTGCATATGCACTAGACACAAAGGCCATCTGAAAATTGTTTTGTAAAGACTATGTGGTGCCAAACAGGGCCATACAGTGATGAACTCTGAAGCAAGGCTGAAGGTAAGTATTTTAGTATGCCAGATGCTCTTAGGGGATTGGGGTATACTTAAAGGACAACTTCAGTAAATGTTGTCTTTAATGGCTCAGTAGTTTTTTAAGACTACCTAAATCTAAAGTTTTGGCCTGTTTTATGTGCACTATCCTTGCAATAATATGTGCAATTGTTGCAATTCTTATTACAACAGTTTAGAGCAAGAATACGTTTAAACAAGGGATGCACTCATAAACATTTTTTTGGTATTGAAAACCGGCCACGCAGGAACCCGGGGGCCAAGTCATTATCCGCCCCCCCTGGCTTCGTGATTGGACGGGAAGCCAGCTTCATGCTCCCTGGTGACGAGGGAGCATGGAGACAGCTTCCTGGCCAAGCAGGAAGCCAGGCGCTGAATCATTACACTCTGGCCAGCTTCCTGATTGGCTGGGAAGCCAGCTCCATGCTCCCTGGTGACGGGGAAGTGTGTAGCCGGCTTCCCAGCCAATCAGGAAGCCGAGCAGCGTGTAATGACTCACCACCCGGCTTCCTGATAACGGAAGTTCCGGTATCGGGATAAGTATCGGGAGCATTTGGGCGAGTACAAGTACTAGCCCAAATACTCAGTATGAATACTAGTATCGGTGCATCCCTAGCTGCAGGTAAGGTTTTTTTACCTGCATTTTTTTAAGTTAGTGACAAGGCCTCCTTAAATTGCGCCAGCAGCTGAGACGATGGCAAAGAAAAAGGTTGCATTTGATTTATAAAGCCTCTGGTTTTAATCATTAGATTTAACCAGATTTCCTTGTACCTTATCTGGCACATATTGAATCAATAGTGCATCCTGTTCAGCCTCTCAATTATATCCATCAGTCAGGTTGTCTAACTGCTGGGATCTGCTGACATTTTGAGAGTTTCTCGAGGCCGTGACTCCAGCATCAGCATCTGTAATGTTATCTACAGCAGACGAAACAATAGACTGACCTTTATCTAAACACCTGTCAGTCAATTCTAGCACATTATTACTACAATGACCTGCTGGTTCTGAGCAGTCTGGACATCCCCTCTCTAATCAGATTAAACGCTAAATAAACATCGTTTGGCAAAGCAGAGAGAAACTTCAAGTCTTCCAAGTCCTTTGATCATCTACAGATTCCGCAGACCACCAAAGTCTTAATGCTAAATATTGCTGTCTATTATATAGCACCCAGGCTGCTGCACAGCTGCTGTTTTCTTAAGAACTGCCAAATCTCTGTAATGATTGCAGTGGACGCAGTTTCCTCCTAGGCTTGCTGACTCTATGCATCTTTCATCTTTTAGAAATGTTTGGAAAAACAGTATAAATCTTGGACATTTATTCAATGGTATTAAGTCTCTAACGTGCAGCTGAATTATCAACAATAATACATAATAGTGAGTGAAGGAGGCTGATTGAATATACATCATTTGGATTATGTACTTCCATTAGATGGTGGCCTACTTCTGACCCAGGGGGACAATCCTTAATAGCTGCCCATGGAACAGCAGTGGTTACGGTTTTATACTAGTGTATAGTGTCTAGGCCAGTCTTTCTCAACCAGGGTAGCTTCTGGCTTCATCAGGGCTGCCTCATAATTTCTCAGTGTCATGCCTCTGGTGTCAAAAGGGCTCCTAATGTGAAAGAGGGGAGTTTGATGTAAGAGGGAGTGTCTAAAGGGAAGGTGGCTCCTGATGTAAAGGGAAAGTCTGATGTTAAAGGGGGGATTCTTATGTGAAAAGGGGGCTCTGATGTGAAGGGGGCTCCTATTATGAAAGATAGGAACTTCAAAAGTGAAGGCTCATGAAGTAAAAGGGTAGTCTGATGTTAAAGGGGTGCTCTGATTTAAGGGGGGTTTCTACTGTGAAGGGTCTGGTATGGATTTTGGAAGGATTACGGGTTTTTTTTTTACATTACAGGCAGTGATGCCTTGAGATTTTTGCATTCTTTTAGAGGGTTCTGTGGCTGAAAAAAGTTTGAAAAACACTGGTCTAGGCTATGTAGGCAGCAGACTGGGCCTCTGCCAGGTCAGGAAGCAAACATTGTTTCCTTTAAGGAAATCATAGTAAAATAGGCTACTATTGATTAGCACCTGAAAATGCTGGCTGTCTTGGCTGCAATACTTTCTTCTGACCTAGAACAATTATACAGCAAGTTAAGTCAAAGAGGAGTCTGCATAATTGTTTTTCTAGGCCAGTGACATAGAAAGTATCGAAATCATTTAATCAGCAATGGCAGGCAGACACTCTGCATTTTTAGGAAAGGCCAGCAATGGCATCCTGCATATATCTGTTCCCTTTAAGCTGAATAGCATGTAAGCAGTGAACAATTGGAGGATTTTGAGGAAATGTGCAACTGCTGAGCACCATATACGCTCGTTAATCTGGCAAGGTCTAGCCTCTGTATGCCCTTACTGTTCACACAGTATGGGTCCTGATGACATCCTTCTGTGGAGATCCTGGCCCTAAAATGAAGACAGAGAAGTGACCTCTGTGTCAGACCTAGCGCTATTAAGTACTGAGAACTTGTTCACCTTAACAATGTGTGTTAGTGATTCAAAACATATGCTATCTGAGATGCCCTCTTAGCAACGCTGCCAAGTCATTTTGCTTGGCTTTTGTCTCTCAATGCACATCTAACAGTCTGCTCACACTGCTGGAAAGAGCTTTGTTTGGTTTATCTGGTAGTCAGAGATTGTTCTGCAAGGCTTCTGAATACAGTGCCTGTTCTGCAGATGGCCACTAGAAGGAAATGCCATAAATCTCTATAGAACTTTGTTCATGAAGGTAAAGGTGGAAAAAAATGCATCAAATATTACTTTCCAGTAAAAGTTCAAAACTCAAAATGCTTACAGGCAACTACACTACACTGCCCACTAGACCAGCCATTCTTAACCATGGTTCCATGTAGTCCTAGGGTTCCTTCAGAGGTTGCTAAGGATTGCTTGAGTTGTGGCTGATTAACCTGCCATGTTATTGTGCCTGCATAGTTCTAGATAGCATTTCCAGCAGCATGATGCCTACGATCATCATACTGCATTCTGACCAGCACTGTACAGGGCATTCTTCCCACTGACACCCAATTCATTGGTTTTAGCATTAGCAAGGGTTCACTGAACATTAATATTTTTTCAGTGGTTCCTTTGGAGTTAAAAGGTTGAGAAAGGCTTCTCTAGAGTATGCACTATACTTCTCCTTGAAGAATGTCTATTAATGTAGCCTTTCAGTGGTTTACTTCAACTGGTAAAGCAGTAGTGCCATCTTTTGTCAATCATCCATTGTGTACTTGCTACTGTAATAGTAAAGTCCTCATACAAAACAGAAATATTCACCTTTCTTGGGATGTAAAGGTGACTGTCTAATCAGATAAGCTGGCCATAAATGTGGATGGAGGAATCTCCTGCTGCCTGCTATTGTATTCAAGCAGCCACAGGAGCCCAGCTGCTTGAGTACCCAAACCATCAGCTGCAGTCACTGTTTAGCCAACAATTTTCCACCTGGCTACTTCAATTTTTCTAGTTTGTCGAAACTGGTTGAGCAGACAGGGCCAGCTCATCATAGTCCAGGTAAACCTTGTTGTTGCATCTTGTATGAAAGCTGGCCCTATAGATGCTTCATGGAGGTAAACATGCTACCCATGCTTATTGCTTGAGTGACACAAGGAGTTTTGAGGTCATGGAAAAGTCTTATAACATAATAACATATAAAAGTACAAGGCAGCAGGCCACATGGATTTATACAGTCATCTCGTGGCCCAACGAAGTACTGATAAGGGTGGTCATAATAATCTGGCTACTTAGTGTATAAGACATGGAAATGTCTGCGTGGTCTAAAAAGAATTACTATTCTACAATGGTGCTGGATTATTTGCTACCATACCAGATGATTGCAGTGGGCAATATGGACGCCTTTGCTTAATTCTTTTAGTATTTGGAAATTGGTTCTAAGGTTTTCTTCTAATGTGCCAGCCAAAAACATTGTTGACCCTCTGCTCACACTTGGCCAAGCACTCCTCTTTTCTGGTGGAGCATGATTGACAGTGGGGTTTTTTTGGCATCACACGCTCAAGTATGTTTTCACATGGTTTGATACTGGCACATTTATTATTGCTTAGTGGAAAATGGGTGTCTTTATCAACAGTTCTAGGAAGTTCAGTCTGCCAGTGCTGGAGATGTTATTTCCACAGTAATACATCTGGTCCTTGTAATGTTCCTCTCATATTTTTCTTCTTCGTATTATAAGCTAAAACCACTCAGTATAACTAACTACCCATGACGGATACAGGTCAGAGGTTGTCAGCAACAGGAAACACTACATTGTTCCCAATTTGTTCCTGATCAATATATATCAATCAAAAGAAAAAGAAGACCTCATGCATTCAAGAATTGAGTCTTTCTGGGTGTTAGTTGACAAAGTTTCATAATATTTGCTTATGCCTTTCCCAGTCTTTTTTTTTAATCTATTGGTCAGTTAGGAGCATATAATGTGAATGATTAAGAGCATTGCTTTGATCTGCCAGGACAGCAAGAATTTGGTTTGATCTGTGTTATCTGCTTTTATTTAGGACAGTTTTAATTTAAAACATATGAGGCAACATCTTAAACATTATAATGATAATGCTAAATTGGAGGAACTAGATCAATGACGTTGCAAGGCTTCTAAAAAAATAAAGAAACCCGTGGCAACCTAAATAGACGAATAGTGGATGTAGTCAAGATAACAATTTGGTCAAATAGTTATTGAGCTTCTAAACCCACATGCCATATGCACTGTACTCGATAGCCATTGCCCCCGAATGACACAACTCCATCATTGCGCCTCATGCCCGAGTTGCATTTAACCTTGGGAAAGGGAGCAGATTTAAAAATTATTATTATTATACAAGGTTTCAAATACAGACGTTTGCGCTCAGCTCCTATCTAAGCAGCAGGCACTAATTCCAGTGATGAGTGATAGGGAGGAGCCTGGGAGTAGACTGAAGAACGGCAGCGTGCTATTTGTATCAAGAGATTTTATCTGACTTTGATTCATTTTTATCATCCTTATTTCTGAGTATATTTTATCCTATTAACATTTTAATGTGGTTTATGGAGCACACTATAGAGTTTTCCATTTTTGTTTCTGCTTGCTAAAATGGTTTAACCGAGTGGAAGCGCAGCAGGTGAGTCATTATTGGAGATAATTACAGACACAAACCGCAGATTGGAGGAGGGTCTGCCTATTGCCAATATTAGGTTTTATCCCGCCCAAGATTGAAAAAGGGAATAAGCGCTTATCAAACCTTTTATAATATAAGGTCGCTTTTTGAGTTAAGAGTTATTCTATGGGGGAGTGGATGGTGAATAGTCACAGAAGCACAGGGGATTGTGTTTTGCTCAATACCCATAAAGGACTGGGGCACACAATTTTATACTACTGCACTATCAGTCTATTTATCCAAGTGGACTTTTCTTGTGCATTTTACACTTTATATGTCAATGTTGCACTAATAATTATGTAGATTTTTGATTAGATTAATATTATCTTTGCAAATTAGCACGCTATCATAAGAGTGTTGCATAATCATCACAGAAGTGTAAATAAGTATTTAGGGGTATGAGAGCAGCACAATATTAATGTATTATAATACAAGATTTATATTGCGCCAACAGTTTGCACAACACTTGATGATGTCTGTAGATAACCCCATTACAAACACTGCAGGTTTACTGGACCTAATCACTATATGTTGGCCACCTGTTGTAACACAACTTTTCCCTTTTGCCTGTTCTAGCATGGAAGGATCTATCGTTCGTCTACCGGAAATTGTGGCGTTGAAGAAGAAATACAAGGCTTATTTATATTTAGATGAGGCGCATAGTATTGGGGCAGTGGGACCTACAGGAAGAGGAGTGGTGGAATATTTTGGAATAGACCCTGCAGACATTGACATATTGATGGGAACGTTTACTAAAAGTTTTGGAGCCATTGGTGGATACATTGCTGGGAAAAGGGTAAGAAAGTATTGTGGGTAATGCCTGACACAATGACCAAAATGTAAAAACAGAATATTAAGATTATCATACGGTATATGGTTCCTTACTTCAGCTTCTGTACCTTTTGTGCCCATTATGGACCAGAGTAATATTACTTGTCCATTGTGGGCCTGTTTATTTGGCGATAACTTTGTCATTGCTTAAAATAACAACAAAATACATACATTGTTTTTTTCGGGAGATAAACTAGGCTTGCGAAATCTTTTATTTTCTGTAAAATCTATAGACAAAAAGACATAAAAAAGATGCATTAGGCATACAAACCACAAACAAACAAGCCACAGATGGTAATCAGCGCAGTGAAAAAAGAAGCGGTGGCATTTGTCCCCTCTGTATTCTGTCTAGGGAGTACATTTTTCTTGAATACTGGGAAGGAAAGCAGAGTACCTGGAGGAAACCCACGCAAGCACAGGGAGGACATGCAAATTCCTTGCAGATAGTGACCTTGCCAGGATTCAAACCAGGGACCCCCAGTACTGCAAAGCAGAAGCGCTAACCACTACGCCACTGTGCTGCCCTCTATAAAGTATTTACATATTCTTAACAAAAAAAGAGCTTTCAAACAAGCCATCCCTAACTCTCTAGCTGTTTATACTGTAAAGGTATTCATTCTCTAAGATCACAGCAAAGACTCTTTAAGTAGGGTATCAGTGTTTTCTAACCACTTTGAAACATCTGCCGTTTGGTCACCTTAGAGAGCTGCCAGGCTGCCAAGATTCTGGTACCATAGAAACTAATAGGAAAACTAACATTTCTGTGTCTCTTTTGTGAAGTTTGAAGACAAATTTCTCCACAATGATAATTGCTACAAAGTTAATGAGGGATGGCTGTTTTAAAATGCATCATGCATGCCAAGAAGGCAATATAAAAAAAACTTGTGTTGCATACTTGTGCCAAATGGAAATGCAGAATATAGCTTACTATAGAAACAGTTTTCTGGTTTATTAAGTCCCCTTAATTCCTGTGCAGTTCAATGAGGTGCGTTAATGCACCTGTGTTGACTTGCATTGTGTTAAGGCAGCCCATTTAAATGAATTACAAGCAAATCTTATATTGTACCTATACTGTTTTGCAGACACAAAGCACCATAATGCACGGTAGTAACTTACCATGCATTGCAGTGTACTGTGACGCAGGTACATTGTTTTATTGCATTATGGTGCCATTCAAAATTAATGGCAGTGCCACTCACATAGGTGAGAAACCATATTTACAGGTGGCAAGTTGGCCAAATGTTAGTGCTTCATAAAGATTATCAGCTCCACATTGCTGCACACGTAATGTTCTTTACAGTTACGTTAATGCTTTTTCATTTACTTTCTGTGATTAAAACTCTAACTGATGGACATGTTTTACCTGCAGGAACTGGTGGAATACTTGAGAACGCATTCACACAGTGCAGTTTATGCCGCTTCAATTTCTCCTCCTGTAACAGAGCAAATCATCAGAGTGATGAAGTGTTTTATGGGACGTGATGGGTCACACACAGGTAACATTTCTTGGTTCATCATATTGACCAATTTGTTTTGAATGCATTGAGCCATCTTGTTTTAGCTGTGATTACGAGGCAGGAAGTTGGCTGCTGTACTGAATAGTATAATATTTCTTCTGGGATCAGTTTGACTACATGAGGTCTACATTGAGACTGAAACCTCCAGCAAAAAAGAGCAATTGACTACATGACACTTTCTACAAATCATCTTCTAAAGTAGTCCTGCATTAAAATAATAACCACCTAGAACTGATTACTCCAGTGGGTGGACTTTTATTGCTTGTTGAGTCTTGTAGCATTTGAGAGCCCCTGAGAAGGGCAAACCCACCGAAAACTGATAATCAATTCCGGATTGATAACAGAGGTCATATGACCATTGGACCTCTCACATGTGTTAGGGACTTCTGACTTATACACGTGGAATTATAGTCCTGTCATCTGCTGCAGCTATTACATGGGAATCCTAACTCCCTGTTAGATGCAGAACACACAAAGAGGAGTAGGGTTTTATAGGTAAGGACCCACAGCTAGAAGTTCCTAATAAGCACTTCTCATTGGTCAGCAATGAGTGCTCGCCATTTGCAAGTGCAATTCAAAATACAGAACGCAGGACTGTGCTGCTATGTATGGAGTACGGAGAGTACACCAGCATTGGCGGAGGGGAAGGAGTGTTAGCACAAAGGTAAGTATAGGAAGGGGGGAGAGGGGGCCAGATTGAAGGGGGGGAGGGGGTAATTCCATTTTCACCAAATACTTAAGGGAAAGTGGAATTACCCTTTTAAAGCCTAACTCCCCAACTCACCTGCCCAGCGAATCAAGCATTGTCCTACTGTTATTCGCCATCACAGCCCACGTTGTGTGCGGCCATATTTTTCTTGGATGTCATCAGGAGTTTTGGCTGTCTCTTCCGAGCACTGCAGCCGGACCAGGTGGCGTACGGCAAGGTCCACTGTGATTTCTTGCAGCCTCCTAGGGTATGTGACAGGTATATCCCAGGAGGCTGCTGGAGCAGGACACAT